ATGGGGGCAAAACACGGGCGGGCAAAAGTAAAACACGGCCGTGTCCTCGACCGTGTTTTGCCCATAATCGGGTTTTTGAGGCAGATTCAAGCCAAAGGAAAGGGGGAGCTGGGTTTTGGTGCCCAAACACCCAAGGGACGAACCCTAGAGAGAGAGAGCAACTTGAGAACATTCTTGGAGCTATTTTGGAGGATTTCTTCGCCATTGGAGCTCGGGAATCAAGCTTGGAGATGGAGATTGAAGATCTAGATCAGATATATGCAGTCTCTCTCTTCCCTATGGAGTAACTTCCCTTCACTTAGGTTTTGAGGAACCCTAGTTCCATGTATTTAGATCTTTCTTGTATAAAGTTTTGGATGCTATATTGTTTGATTATAATCGATTGAGGCATGATTTATTGAGTCAATTGAATCTTGATCAAATTCTCTTGATTTCTGCTTTAACCTATGATAGATAGAATCTGATTAGGTTAAGAGAGCTTCCTTGATTGATAGTGGTGAATTGGTTGTGCGAGAGTCAATCAATTCACTGCTTTGTACTGGAATTCATTCCAGTAGTGGAGATATGTGTGAATCGCCTTAGCAGTCTATCCCGGTGAAGGCTAGTCGCCTGCCGGGTATTCTGCCTAAGAGGGCTAAGTCAGCTTAAGAGATTCCAATCTAATTTAGGATCTTTCGCAATTTAATCAACAGAAGATCAACCAAAGGTAATTGCAACTCGGACCTAATTGAGGAGATAGGGGGAATCATACCTAACTGAGTTCCCAACTTGTAATTAGTAGAGTAGTTAGTAGATTAGTTTAGTAAATCAATCCTTAATCTAGTTTGCTAGATAATGAACTGAAGCTGAGTAATAGTAACTCTAGAGACCCGTGGATTCGATATTTATTACTTGTGCCACTATACTGCAGTCCCTTTCATTGGTTACACTTGGCCATTGTTAGGTGTTGTGTTTTAGCGTGTTAGCTTGTTACAAAACTTGGCTCATCCCTCCATCATATCGATGTTTTCATTTCTTCTAGTAACAAGGAGGAACAATGGAGATTTTCAGGGTTGTATGGTTGGGCGGCCAGAGGAGAAAGGTTTAATTCGTGGGACCTCCTTAGAAGCCTGAGAAATGGTTGTAGTCTCCCTTGGGTCTGCATGGGGGACTTTAATCAAATCCTGTCTGGGGAGGAAAAGAGAGGTGGAAACCCTATTGATGAGATTCATGCTACGGAGTTTAAGGAAGCTCTGGAATTTTGTGGCCTTCTCGACTGTGGTTTTGAAGGTTATCCTTTTACTTGAAAAAATAACAGGGAAAATGAGAGATATATCGAAGAGAGGTTGGACAGGTGTGTGGCTAACTGGGACTGGAAGTTGCATTACCCAAACCATCAAGTCTTCCATCTTGATTGGTGCGGGTCGGATCATTGCCCTATCCTGCTCTCTACTACTGGAAAGGATAAAGAAGAAATTAAATGGGGATGGTACTTCAAAGTTGAACCCATGTGGATTAAAGATCCTGAGAGTTCTGAGATCGTGAGGAAGATCTGCGAAGCTAAACCTATGGATGGGCTCACTGACATCTTCGATTGCTGTAAAGCTGACTTGCTGAGTTGGAGCAAACAGAAGTATGGTTACATAAGGAGGAAGATCGATAGAATTGAAGGTTTGCTCAAATCTTTTAAATAAAAACCAAAGACTAGAATTTTCCTTGAGCAAAGAAAAGCGCTAGAAGCAGAGAGAGCAGAGCTGATCTATTAAGAAGAACTGTTTTGGAAGCAAAGGTCAAGAATGGATTGGTTAAAGGGCGGTGATAAAAATACTAAGTTCTTTCACACCAAAGCTTCTGCCAGAAGGAAAAGAAACACCATTAAGATGCTCCATGATGATCAGGGGCGGATTTTTAAGGGACAAAGGGAGGTTATGAGATGCATCACTGACTATTATCAAACTCTGTTTAAGAAGGGAAAAATCCCTGACTCGGATGAAGTCATCTAACCTTTGGATAAGAGGATTACTCCTGGCATGAATGAGCAATTGATGAGGCCTTTCAAAGCAGAAGAAATTAAACTGGCTCTTGATCAGATGGCACCAAGTAAGGCTCCGTGGTCGGATGGCTTTTCGGCTGGTTTCTATCAAAAGAGCTGGAGTGCGACTCTAAGGTAACTGACACAGTAATTAATTTTTTCAATACGGGTACTATGCCTCCTGAGTTTAATCACACTCTTATTGCCCTCGTTCCTAAGGTGAAGACTGAAGACTCCCTCTACTGCCAAAAATTTCAGACCAATTAGCCCGTGTCGAGTCATCTATAAAATCATCTCAAAGGTTCTGGCTAATAGATTAAAGGCTATTCTTGATGATATTATCTCAGAGGAACAAAGCGCTTTTGTGTCAGGAAGATGTATTACTGATAATGTTATTATTGCTTTTGAATGCTTTCAGTTATGAAGAATAGGAAGAAAGCTAAAGATGGTTTCTTTGAAGAAAGTTATGAGGAAGCTTGGATTTGAAGTTATGAGGAAGCTTGGATTTGAAGAAAGGTGGATTAACCTAATCATGAGCTGTGTGTCAACAATTTTCTACTCGTTCTTGTCAACGGGCATAAAACTGATTGCTTTACTCCCTCTAGGGGCCTGTGCCAAGGCGACCCCCTATCACCCTACTTATTCCTCCTTTGCGCTAAGGGTTTATCTGCTTTAATTAAAAAAGTTGAAAGGGAAGGTAAGCTAGATGGCATTCAGATTCGTAAGAAGGCTCCTACTATTTCCCATCTGCTTTTCGCTGACGATAGTGTGATTTTTGGGAGAGCGGTGTTAAGTGAGTGTGATAAACTAAAAGAGATTCTGAGTTGCTATGAAAAGGAATCGGGCCAGCTCATCAATTTTAACAAGTCATATATCTCTTTCAGTAGTAATGTGAAGAGTAGCAGAAGACTTGAGATATGTGGAACGCTGAGAATCATGGAGGTGGCGTAACACCCCAAATATATAGGCCTACCTACTATAGTGGGGAGATCAAAGAAAGTGATGTTGGAAGAGATCAAGGAGAGAGTTCGAAAGAAGCTGAAAGACTGGAAGAGTAGGACGATGTCTAAAGCTGGGAAAGTGATTATAATCAAGGCGGTGGCCCAAGCTCAATTTCTTTATCCTATGGTTGTGTTGCTTATCCCAGAAGGAACCCTGATGGAAATGCAAAGAATGATCTCTAACTTCTGGTGGGGGTAAAAGGAGAAGGAGACTAAACTCCATTGGTTGAGTTGGGAGGATCTGTGTGATGACAAGGAATATGGTGGGATGGGTTTTAGGGACCTGCATACCTTCAACCTGGCTATGCTCGGAAAGCAAGTATGGAAAATTCTTTCTCGACCCAACTCTCTGATGACAAGAACCCTGAAAGCTAGGTACTTCCCAAAGTCTGATATTCTCAACGCAAAGATTGGATATAAACCTAGCTTTATCTGGAGAAGCATCATGGCTACTATGGAGAGGATTCTGGGTGGTTTCAGATGGCATGTGGGTGATGGGGAATCAATTCGGGTTTGGGAGGATGCTTGGATCCCAGGTAAAAGCTATTTTTTGCTGACCCTCAACCCTCTGATGGATTCGATTGAGCTGGTGTCATCCCAGATTTACAAAGAAAGTGGAACTTGGGACGAAAGTAAGCTTAAGGAGAAGTTTTCTCAATTGGACTATGGGCTCATTTCGAAAATACCCCTGCGAAGTCCCCTGTGCAGGGACGAGAGGGTGTGGACGGACACTAGATGGTAACTACTCTATTAAATCTGCCTATTGCAGGATTTGTGAGACACATGGCATCAATTCTACCTATTCAAATCTTCTTTCATAAGAAGAGACAGAGTTCTGGAAGGCTCTTTGGAAAACTCATATTCCACCAAAAGTTCGAATTTTTCTTTGGAAAGATGGAAGAGATATCTTACCGGTTGGCTGTCATATTGAGGAATGGATTGATGAAGCTTGCACTGACTGCCCCTTCTGTGGTCTCCCAGAAACCCAGCTTCATGCTCTCCGGGATTGTAGTTGGATCAGGAGTCGTTGGCAGGCATGGGAAGAGAAGCAAATGTTTGAGATCGGAGAAGGTAAATCGTGTTTTGAATGGCTAAAGGAAATATGCAAAAACTCTACTACTGAGCAGATACAGAAGTTTAGTGTGGTCTTATGGTACCTGTGGAAGGAGAGGTGTAAACACCCGAATAACAAGGAGGAGAAGGGGGTTTGCAGACCCATTGAAGCCGAGGCCAAGGCAATATTGATGGGGATCCGTGAAGCAAATCGAAGAGAGTTCAGCCTGTTGATTGTGGAAACTGACTGCCAAAAGCTTATCAACAAGCTTGCGAGGGAGGAGAGTGATTTCACGGAACTGGGCACCTGGTGTGATGAGATCAGAAGGTTGGCGAAGGTGAATGAAGGTTTTTCGGGTGTCAAGACGATCTGGAGCTTTACCCCAAGGGAAAACAATTCCCCAGCTCATTGGTTGGCCCATTCCATTTTATGTTGGGATAGACAGTTTGTGTGGGGTGGATGATCCTCCATTATCTCTTCTTTGTGTACTGCAGGCCTATTTGGGCCAGGTCTGGTTGGGCCAAAACTGATCTATGAATGAGAAGCCCACAGGTTAACATAACAAAAAAAAAAACCCTTCCCCTTCACCTTCACTGCGACGGTCCCCTTCTCCTTCCTCCCACCTCCGCTCCTCCGCCACCACCGTTGCCAAGAAAATCCCCACCGGGATAATTTCACTACCCCAAAAATTGCCTTTCCCTTCCTCGCAAATTCCAATCTCACCTTCGCCCAAAAATTGGGTCTTCTTTTCCAATCGCCGCAAAGCGGCGACTCCTCGCACTATACTTCCACCTTCCGACTAGTAATCAACCAACTATCCAGCTTTGAGAGAATTCCCATCCCCCATAGTAGTAGTACTATACAACAAATCCTGAAGAGATCACCATAATCCAATTCACCAAGCTCCTACCTGCAACTGCTGCCTAACTTGAGTCTAAACCAATTCGACTGCATTTTTTGGATTCACCGTCGGAGAAACCACTAGATCCGGCTTCAATTCAACTGCAGTTGAGGCTGATCCGACGACTGGAGAGTTCTCTTTGTCCTTCTGGATCTCCTCTCCTCGCTTGAGGATCTTGACCTGGCCCATGGAGAGGACCTTGGTCGCGGCGGCATGGGGAGAGAGGGAGGGTTCGACTGTGGGACGGGGAGGGGGAGAGGAGTTAAGGCTCCGCTTCCTCCGGTTATTGGATTGGCCGCGGTTGTGCTTGGCGGAGTTGGGTGTGGTGGTGGGGGTAGGGTTGCGGCAGATTTTGGTGCGCGGCAGGGTGGAGAGGAGGCTGCCGCAGTTGGTGAAAGAGTCGCAGAGGCAGTCCTGTGGGCTGAGAACAGTAGTTGCCATCGCGGTGGTCGGAGTTTCTACGAGAGGAGACAAAGCAGGTAGTCGAAGTGGAAGGAGGTGTCAGAGTGCGCCCAGCGGTGGTGGTACGCCCGCTGTGGGGTTTGCGAGAAGGAGCAGGGGGCGAACAATGGTGGGGGTACAGGGAGGAAGATGAAGATTTTTGTATAAATAATTGTATTTTTATTTTTCATTTTATGAACTCGGAAAATTGAATTTATGTTTTTTACTTTTTTTTGTTAATCCACGTGTCCGACAGAGTATCGCCAGGTCAGCATTTCCATTAGCCTAGTCAGAGTGTTAAGTAACATCGTTAAAGAGATGGGCGGAATTGGCTATTTTGTGTTTTCGGATAGTGATGGATATATTTGTCACAAACGTGAAAGTTATGGTTATACAAGTGTATTTTGCCAAAATAAAACTAAAAGTATTTCTCTCTTTAAAATATTTAATATTTATTTTTAGTAAAATTAATTATTTTTTGTTTAAAATTTTTACTTTTGGTGTCTAGGTGGCATGAAGTGTCTAGTTGGCGCTGAGGTGGCGTCCACGTCAACGTAACTTTCAAGTCGCTAACGGAATCACTGATGACGTTAAAGTTTTTAACGAAAATGGCTAAATTTGTCAAATTAATTTAAAAAATATGCTATATTTGCGTATTTTTTGAAATTTGACTATTATTGTCACAAAGCATATAATTATGGCTATACATGTGTATTAAGCCTATTACATAGGCCATCACTCAAAATGAGTAATAGTTAAATCTCACATTTTAGATGAGATTGTATGAGATTGTAGAGATAGTTTAGGTGTGATTGTTGTGTTTATTTTGTTCCAACTATATCCCCAACTTTTTTGCATGAGTTGTTTTTCATAATATTAAAAATAAATGCCAAAGCCCAAAAGTGATACTCCACTTAAAAACTAATATATTTTATTTAAATAGCACAATAACTATCACAAAAATCAAATAATGTAAATCATAATACATAATTCTTAATTACGTGTATAGTATTATACATTTATAGTTCACAAAAAATAAACAATGTAAATGATATTTTGATTTTTGACATAATATTAGAGTTTCAAAATTGAATAAAAATATGAAGAAAGAAAAAATTGAATAAAATAATCGTTTTCACTTATCATAATAAATCCAGAAATTAAAGTTAATAACTAAGAATAACATTGTGATTATTCCTCTGAGGTGCTGAGTGGAACGTTGCATGATGAAAACGTTGCTCATCATTCCATATCAAAAGAGATCATTGTATCATTTGTTCGTACACTTGTCGATTTTATCCCTCTAGAAAGGAAAGCCCGCGCTTCGTGACGGGAGACAATTTGTAATATGTGTCGTACTACATATAACAATTTTCGTGAACGAGAATAATTAGTACGATCAAACATATTAACGACGAAAATGTTTTTTTAGTTGACTTTATCTTACAGAGGTCTGAAAGGTTTTCAAAAATTGTGCAAACCCATGAGAGTAAAATAACAGTAGGTGTTGGATTGGAGCTTATATAACCGCTAGAGTTCACAATGACATCTGCATTACAAAGCGATTAATTGCTAGCGAAAGGTGTTGAATCGGAGATTATAATTAAAAATACAACTCGAAAGGTGTTGGATTGGAGCTCAACAACAGTCTTGCAGATGAGTTTACACAAAAGGGTAAGATCTTACAAAGCGAGTGATTGCCAGTGAAAAGGAGACCATGGTGAAATGACGATTTGTGGGCACAAATGTACGTGGGCACCGGGCCGGGCCGCCCACGGGCTAGCATGGCACGAACACGAAATAAATGGGCCGGCCCTGCACGAGCACGGATAATTTATGGGCCGTGTCGGGCCTAAACTTCATGGGAACGACACGGTATAAGTGGTCCGTGTTGGGTCTAATATTTTTTAGATTTTATTGAGTATAAGAACGAACATAACACAAAAATAACATTGATTTGATAGAAAATAGATATAGAAAGAATTATAGGTTCAAATATTACAAAATACAAGTAGAAAAATAATTATTTGTTTTTGTTAGAAGTGTCATAAAGATATATACGTAATTACTACCATAAATGAAAATGGACGAAGAATTAAGCAAAGTCAAATCACAATCGCTATACTTCCAATTTTCTTTTCCCCTTTATTTGTTACTTTTCTCGAACATTCTCGGTTAATACTATCTTTCTTCATCAATTTTCACATTCTATTTCATTCTCTCTTTTATTTTCTTCCTTTTCATTAGACACTAATACCAGCACGAATAGGCAGGGTACGATTCGAACCGTGCTGGGGTCTGGGTCGGGCGTAGCAAAGTTATCAAATGGGCTTTCACGACAAGGCACGAAAACTGACGGGCCATGCCAAGCACGACACGAAACAAATGTCCTGAAGCGTGCCTGTGCCGTGCCAGCCCAAGCACGGCCCAACACCCATGTATAGGCTAAACGACGACATAAAGAAAGAATATCAGGACAGATAGCAAGTACAGTCAATCAAACACGGAACAAAAACTAAAAATCAATGTAGCAACTTTGACTGATGACGCATAGTGCTTAAGTTAGGTTAGGTGTACAATTTAAAGCAAGCACAATCTATAATTTAGAGACAGAACCAACAACATCAATAGCTAGTATCGATGAGAACTTTTATGAAATGCATTCTGCTAATTTCCCCACACTTGCATCACCCTAGTTATATGACTATATGCATGTAACGAAACAGAACCATACAACCTCTAGTTCTGAAATAATCAATCCCCAACACATTTTTCCGTGTGATATTCCAAAGACTTGGTCATTTAAGAACTCACAAATACACAGCTCAGCCTGTTAGAGATGCAAAATAGTATGCATCAAGCTTTCAAGTAGTGACACCCCCCACTAAAATGCACAGGATTCAGGAGAAAACAACAAAACTTCTGGGGAACAAAAATGAAATCATGATTCTCACTACGTTACCCCTAACTTGTTGTGCAACACTCCAATATGCAAGCACACAAATAAAATGCAGAAAAATTTTGTAATGATCAAGTGGATCATCATTCTAAATAAAAATGATGTTGACTGAATCTCTTCATTATGGTTGGATTCCCAAGTGTTGATTGGAAACTGATCTTTTAGGGCAGGAGTAATTAGGAAAAACAGTACCAAACTATGTTTACTTAGGAGCCACTCATAAAAATGATCATAGACCTAATTGCCCACAAATTGGAAACTACAGAGGGTAGAAGAATGAATTACATGTACCGGTCGATCCCCTAGTCAACCTTCCTTCTATCTGTTGATCCCGCGTATTTCCTCTTGGAGTCTGCTGTTGGACTGCAGTTTGGAATGGGTTCACTTCCCTCATCAGCGATGACGACTTCTTCCTCTTGCCCTAGGTCTGGGTGAAAGCAAATTTCAGAAAACATATCAGAACCATATGGAAGAAAGACCAGTTTCAGAATATAAACAAAACCAAAACCCAAAAAGAAAAAGCTTACCTAGAGAGCAGTGGTCAACCCTTGTCACCTCTGATGCCTTTGGAAAGCTACACCGACAACAGCTCCTCCCTTATCCTTATCTTGTCCAAACCTGAAACCCAAAGATAACATGTCTGATTAGTTTGGTAGGAACTAATGAGTAAAAACTCGAAACATACAAAAACCGGAAAAGAAACAAATCTACACAAAAGACTTACTTTGCACGCTGTTTATAGTTGTCCCACCGGTAGCAATACATGTGAAAAGCAAAAAGTCAACTTGGTAAAATACATGTGGAAAGCAAAGAAAGTTTCTTTAACTTGAAGTAACATAGTTGAGCGATGAGGTGGAACCAAAAGAATAAAGAGAAATTAAAATGTCCAAAAAAGTCAACAAAATCATTTATGAAATTTGTTCATGTGACCATGCTGAAACTAAAATATAGCAACTTATAATGAAAATTGTTTAGCTTCTAATCTTCCCACCACCATGATCAATTACTATAAAGGAATTACTTAATCTTATGGCATGAATTTTTATTTATAAAACTGATGCAATATGACTAATAGAATCATAATTAGGATCATGAACAGGATGGTGCAACAACGGAGGCCCACATAGAGCTACTAAAAATAACTGTAAATGCAAATCAAATGTGAAAATTATTATATATATTAAACATGACAGATCAAATCTTTGTTCATCCCATCAAACTCGTCTATACACTTCTCTTCCATATGTTAGGACCATGGTTCCTCGTTCAAGTTAGGAGTCACCAGCTTGTTCATCCTAATATGCTTGTGCTTACAATACATATTCTCATGCTCAGAGAACGCACCACCACCTTGTTCATTAAGCTTAAGAATGCAAAAAAATATATATCCAATTTTGATCGGTAAATACTCCATTTTGTAATTAACAATAAAAATGGAAATCGTTGACACTATGATTTGATAGATGATGGATAGCAAAAACGTGCTCAACCGATATCGTATCAATCAGTCATATTGGTTAATACACGTATAAGTGACCAAAGTCATTACTATCACCAGTTTGATTTCTAGAAGGAGTGAAGAAGAGAGAATGAAATGCAAAGGGTACGTAGAAGGTAACTTACATGTATAAGCATATGGTTCTCATTGTGTAAAAATGCAAAGGCGCACTTCTCTGACTTCTTATTCTCCAAGTCTTTAACCCTCGTCTGTGGCTCGCTAAGATAAGTTTTCTTCCTCTCCCTGACTTGCTGCGTATATACTGTGTTTCTCAACAACCTGCAAAAATTTCCCTCCCGGTGAATAAAAGGCCATCCTCAGCATTATACACTATCATATATGGCTCCATTATGTAAAACCACGAGAAAACAATACGAACGAATTCCCATACAGTACCGTTTGAATCGCTTGTTCTCTTTATCCATGGCGATTATCCCTCACTTCCTCGTCCCTTCTCCCGAACCTTGTCGAGCTCGCTCCTGCCCATAGGCTGGAAGTTTGGTACCGATGGGATATACCGAATACCATACCGAATTTGTCTATATTTGGTATTACCGAATACACGTATAATTTCTTGGGATTGGGATTCAATTTTAATTGTTATTCGGTATTAGGGATTACAGGATTGGGATTAGTATATACCAAAATATCGAACAATACCGAAATATAAGCTAATGTGTATTTTATGCTCTCAACTAAACTCTCTCATTCACTACTACAAGACCATCAACCACCAATCTATTGTTATTGTCATAACACCAAAAACAAACACTATTATTAGTATTCTCTTAGCCTCCAATTCATCAAATTAAAGATTACCAATGATAAAAACTTGAGATATCACCTCTCCTCCATTCTCCTTATCCATATCCTAGCTCTAGACAAACTCAAGACTTTTTGCTTAGCCTCTTTGTCATATATTAAACAATCAAATCTAATTAATTTCTTATTTTGTAATACCGATTGGTATACCGAAGTATCGATTGGGATACCGAAATATATAGAGATTGGGATAACGAAATTATTTAGGGATTGGGATTGGGATTGAATTTAAGATGTAATTCAGTATTCGGGATTTCGGTATTTGGTATTGGGATACCGATACCGTACCGATTTCCACCCCTACCTACCCAGATACCACCTCCGCGCTCTAAGTTGACCCGGACACCCTCCAACACTCTCCTTATCTCCTTGTCACTTTACATTCCTGGCTGTTGAGCTTCTCCCTTGCTTCCTCGTCCCTTCTTCCTAACCTTGATGAGCTCGCCTCCGAACATACCGATTATTGAACTTAATCGAAAACAATTGTGGGCTATGCTATTTCTACTATAGGCTCGCCGGGGCCCCCAACACTTCGTTGGCTTCCTCTTTCCTTCCTTCCTCCTCTTATCGTCATCGTTCCCGTTGAGAACTTTTCCGCCATCCTGAATTTTCCCCCACAGGCACCACCGATATCTACTCCCCCCCCCTTAAATCCATCTAATTATCATCCTCCAATCCACCAATCACAGGATAATCTCTGAAGATTGAAACTCAACAAACAAAGGGAGACAAAGGCTTACCACTGCCACTCATTCTCATCATCGCCATTTTTGGTTGCAATCAAAAGTGCAGATTTTTTGTTTCTTCACCGTCTGATTCAAAAAAGAGAGAGGAAATCACAGATAGAGAGTAGAGGAGATCGATGATGAAAAAAGTGAATAAAACAACCATCCAAAGATTGCATCAAACCACCTAGATTGAGGAATTGACCAACACAACAAAAATGTAGAATAAACAACTTAAGATAGTCAAACAGAGATGTAGGGTAAACACACTTGTTTGGGGTTCTGCCCGGCAAATCAAAAGATGACATTGAGGCATCACTAACCTGATTATGTGCTACAGTGTTGCAATTAGTGAACCCCAAAGCAAGCTTGTCGGTTTTGTGTGTCGAAAGCATCCATATGCTTCAAGGTTAACCCTGAACTTCATACTACCTAACATCGCAATGAGGATACATAACTATATGTTCCATGTTCCTGAAGAAACAATAGAGAAGTTAAACTAATTTTTGGACATAAATTATTCAAAGTGAACTGAATCCAAATAACGCAAAGATGTTAAACTAAATGTTTGAAAGGAAGTAAACAAATGTTAAACGACACGTTGGAAAGGAAGTAACAGCAGAACCCAAAAACTTCTATTTACCCATTTGAAGCAGGCAGTTCCATTCAACTCTAAAGAAGTTTTAAGTACTAACTAATTTACAACTCTAAGTCATGGATGGGAAGAAGTTGCACGGTGCATTGTGGCATCTTACCCCATTCACGTTTCAAGCTTTCCCTTATTGCCTAACAAATGAAACTAATATGTGTTAATAGAATAAAAAGGAAGCTAGCAGCTCTCTTCAGCATGAATAAAACTAAAAGAGACCAGAAATCAAATACTAACCTATTATGTTACGTTTGGACTGTTACTCTGCCACCCACATTCTCTCTCACTGAAATTGAGTGGGTGTAGAGGAGAACCCATGGCAGCTCTAACATACCGTCGGATTTTTTGATCTTCATCTTCCTTCTTTTTCTGCCTTCCTGTTCGCCATATTCGTCCTCCTAAACTACGACCAAGAGATTTGATGGGGGAAATCATACTTACGCTGCTGCTTACAGCTCACTCATTGTCTTCTCCTTTGCATTCTCCATATCATAGCGAGAACTTCCTGCACCCGGATGAACCAAATCCATTAAGTATGCAAAGACCAAAAAGGCTAGGACTGAAAATCGCCAAAATAAAGAAGACTGAAGACGCAGACTAAAAACATAACCAAAGGCCTTAAGAAAAAGAAAAAGCTTACATAGAGAGTGTTAGGGAGTAGTGGTTCATCACCTCTGCTACCTCCGTAAATCTACACCGACAACAACTACCTCCACTATCATGCCTATTGCACGAACCTGAAGGCCAAAAAGGAAAATTCCGATTAGGGTGGCAGGAACCAACAAATAAAAAATCTAAACATACAAAAAATGAAAAGGAAATAAATTCACAAAAACAAATTAACTTAGTCGGCATTGATAGGTGCCCCACTCTGGCGGGAGGCCATTTTCCTCTTGCATATGTTAGTCGTCGGTCGATGAATCACTTCCTGATAGAAAAAGCCAGAAATAAAAGATAAGTAGTATTCAGAATTCAAGCCAAACAAAAAATCCTAAAAGATACAATACGCTAAAAGGCTCTCACCCGTCGCTAGGACCATCACCGGCGTCCATTGCCTACCTTCTAATCGCACTATCATTGTCATTCATGCCTTCCCTTCTCTTCGTCGTTTGCAGAAGAAAAAATAGAAGGAGAAAGTACTTCTACCTAAGGAAGAGAACAGAGAAACTAAAAAAAATCAACTTAGATAGAAAGAAGATGCAAATAAATAAGATCGATTGGTTAGGAAAACTCACTACCTAGCTAATCAGAAATAGAACGAACCTCCTTTCTTAGCAAGCTTGCTGCTTTATCATCGGAAATTTGGCATCGCAGAGAGAGAAAGAGACAGCGACCGAGCTGGATCGCAGAGAGAGGGCGATAACACAAGTTGGGAGAGGTCGAGATCATCGAGGCTTTCCTTGATTCTTTCCTTCTCTTCCTCTCCTGGTTCTTCCTCTTCCTCTGTCTTCTGCAAAAAAAAAAAAAAAAGGAAAAGAAAGGGAGTGGTAAAAATGTGTGGATGGAAATAAAAGCGGAAGGAAAACATAATTATATTTTGGGTTCTTAAAGGTTTGGTTAATTACAAAATGGTCTTTTGTGATGTGATTCTACCCAATAATAACCCAAAACGTGCTATATTAAAGAGTTAAAAGAATCGACCCAGAACTCGTAAATACTGGATTCAATTCTCTTTGACCGGTTTGATAAATTGGGGCGAGTTTTTAACAAAAGCCACAACCGATTAACCGTTATTTACAAAAGCGGATAAAATTCATTCTCGGCCTAAAATTCGACAACATCGATATTGGGTCAATTAAAAAATGGGGTAAAAATAAAACGTATTCCCGACCCAAAAATCGTCAACACAATTCAACCCACATTGATCGGGTTGGATTAAACTGAAAAAGTGGGTGAAATGCGTTCTCAATCCAATTCAATGATTACAAAAGTGGATAAAATTCATTCACGCCCCCAAAAGTATCAAGGGTAAAACTCGTTCTCGACACAGAATTCGTCAACATTGGATTCAACTCGATAAAGCGGGGCGAGTTTTTAACAAAATCCACACCCGATCCATTTCGTTAATTACAAAAGCGGGTAAGATTTGTTCTCGGCCTAAAATTCGGCAACACCAATAACGTGTCAAATTAGGTTGAACACAAATGAATTTGGGTCCAATTGTCATAAGAGGAAATATTTAAAACATTTGATTAATGACCTACTTCGTTAATTACAAAAACGGATAAAATTCGTTCCGGGCCTAAAATTCGACAACACTGTGGAGTCGAATTAGGTTGAACACACATGAATTTGGGTTTAATTGTTGTAAGAGGATTAAAACATTTGTTTATAAGAGGATTAAAACATTTGTTTATTTAATAAAATGTTTAACAATAAAATAATTCTAGTTGATGTGACTCTAAGAAATAGTGAAAAGTTTGTTTGTTTATTTTTAATAAAAAGCGGGTAAGATTTGTTCTCGGCCTAAAATTCGGCAACACCAATACCGTGTCGAATTAGGTTGAACACAAATGAATTTGGGTCCAATTGTCATAAGAAGAAATATTTAAAATATTTTTTTAATGACCTACTTCGTTAATTACAAAAGCGGATAAAATTTATTTCGGGCCTAAAATTCGATAACACAACGGGGTCGAATTAGGTTGAACACACATGAATTTGGGTTTAATTGTTGTAAGAGGATTAAAACATTTATTTATAAGAGGAATAAAACATTTGTTTATTTAATAAAAAGTTTAACAATAAAATAATTATAGTTGATGTGACAGACTCTAAGAAATAGTGAAAAGTTTGTTTGTTTTTTTTAATATGATGATGATGATGATGATGATAAGTTTGTGACATGACGTGTAAAAATTTGGTTCATTATTGTATCTATGTGGATACCTATGGCGAAAAAACATTGCAATTATTATGTGTACATCAAATTAAATCAAATTGCACCTAGAAAAGACCAATTCCGAGAAGGACTAGGAAAAACTTTGATCGAATTCGAAGTCCAATTACGGAAGCCGCAACCTATAAAACGTCACTGCACCTCCAATAGAAGAGAATCGCCGCAACCCTAGCAATCACATCGGAACCACGCGCTTTGCCATCATGGCCGCCGCGTTCAACCCGTCAGAGGAAGACCTAATCCGCTACCTCCAGCTCAGGACGCGCCACGGAGGAACCACCCGGGCTGCCCGCCGAGCCAGCTTCTGCCGGAAATCGACGTGTACGGCGACCTGAACCCGTGGGAGATGTTCGACAAGACCGTGGTGGGTCACTGGTTCTGCGCTTTCGCCAGGCTCAAGCTCCGGGGACCGACCCGATTCCACCGCGGCGTCGGCAGGGGAAGCTGGGCCATGAAGAGCACCCATAAGGCGGGCGACGGCCAAGGCAGCATTATGAAGCGATTCTTTATTTACGAGGAGAGGCCCGACGTGGCCTCGCCGGCAGAGGGAGGCGATGATGATGGGCATTGGAGCATGCAGGAGTTCTCCCTGGCCGGAGCCAAGGACAACGATTACGTTATCTGTAGAGTTAAGAAACGGCCAAAGCACTGAACACGGTGGTTGTATTCAGGCACGAAGACGTCCTTATCTTTTATTCGGGAAAGAGGATTATTGATCAGAAGATTTATTTATGCATTCTGCCGTCTCAGTCATTGTTTACTTGTTGGTTCACAAATAGTTATAGTTGGCCATCTTTACATCATCCACCACCATGCCCGCATATGGATCCTCTTTATATATAGCTTAAGTCAGGTCAGGCCAGGCCAGGCCACGCCTTCCCCTTTCTTCTCATCAACATCGGAGTGAGTCAATGTCAAGCTCAATGCTTCTCGTTCCATTTTATCCAGAACTAGTATGTAACAAACCACTGAAGATTAAATAACAACTTCCTTTGCTGGAAGCAAATCGATTTCATTAATCCCAATAATAGTGGTGTTGCAGCCTGCAGGCAATTCAATTTTCTTGTTTCTTTTGCTCTCTCAAACCTGGACCATTTAGCTGATGGAGCTGAAGCTCCCACTGCCGGTTTCCAATCCCTTGTCCAAGTTCAAGAACACAATGTGAAAATAAATTACAGTCCCAAAATTAAAGAATTCTTAGCTGAATAAACAATCATTCAATAGAGGTCAGGAAACTGTAGCTTATGTAACCAATTGTTGATGTCCTCTTCATGATCATCTGACACCATCAAATAATGCCTAAACACTAAGGAGATCACAACATACCAACCAAACTTGGGATTGATACTCTGAACATACTACTATCAATCAGAACCAAGCACTTGGCCGTAACACTCACCTAAAGCCATGTTATAGGAAAAGTAGGAAGCAAAGACAAGAATTAGTTACTGAAGAACCTGAAGGAAAAAAAAGATGAGTTGTATCATCACTTTCTTCTGAGGAAGTATGAGATCAATGTGCAGAAATGTCAAGAAATAGGTAAAGAATAATCCAGGATGTTAAAAAAGTAAAGTCATAAAACTTACGTATTGTGAGAATAACACAAAATCCCATCACTACACTGTATGTTAGTAAATTCCCACACAAAGCAGTCGAGAGTTTGAGATTCATCGACATAAAATTTCATTCATCTAACAGTCCCTAAATTAGATAACAAACCATCTTGTTACACCAGCGAAAAATAATAAAAAATCACAGGATACACTAGTTATTAATTTTTTTCCCCAAAATACAGTAGTTACAAAAGTATTTCCCAAAGTACAGCTGTTTGATAATCACTGCCTTTGTCCAAGACAGTGATGTTAATCACCGCAGTTGTCCAGAATAGTGATACCATCACCACTGTAGAACAAAACGGTGATGGGTTCACCGCTTTAGATCAATCGGCGAGAGGTTCACCGCTTTAGATCAAAACGGTGAACCACTCACCGCAATACTCTATATCGCTGATTAGTTCCCCGCTTTTCTACAAAGCAGTGATTATTTACCACGTTTTCCCGGCCTGGTAGGTCGAAAATTAGGTCACAACGACCTAGAGTTCATCGCTGTTGTCAATTGCGGTGATGGGTTCACCGCTGTTATCAATTGTGGTGATGGGTTCATCTGATTTCCATATAAATAACCCATCCCTCACTCTCCTACCTCAAAATCTTCCACATTCAACTCATCATATTCGCAAAAAACCCCTTCCCAGCTCGCTTCTAGCAACTACGGTTACAGATTCATCATTTTCGGTATGTTATTAATCTGTATTGTTTAGATTTAGATGTGTTAATAATTATATGTCTGTATTTAGTGAATTTATTTAGATTAATTATGGTATGATTGATGTTAGTTAGTTATGAATTTAGATGAATTTGTTTAGTATCCTCATGTTAGATTAGTTAGTTGCGGTTGTTTATGGGTTTGGATGATATTATTTTCTTAGCCCTAAGTACTAATTATACTATACTAAGCTTATTCGAGTTAAGCTAATATTTACTTACTATAAATTGAAGACATGAGTAAATTTAAGAAGTTTCGGCTTATTATTCGGCGAGGCGGTCGGGTAACAAACTCGGACATTGGGATCGATTATGAAGATGGCCAATCCACTATACTAAAAATTGAGTCGAGTTCACATGCGAAGAACTTCGTTACATTTGTGCAGAAAGGATTTGTATGGACGGACAAACGAGAGTTGGTCAAATCACTTATCGGTATCCGAACATGAGTGCTAGCGGAGGTATGTACGAAGAAGTTTTCATAAATGATGATGATGCGGTGAACATGATGATACAGTTCCTATCTAACAATGGGGTGCGGCGTGCAGAGGTGTATATCGAGACCGAGCCGGTCGGTGATACTCATTCTCACCAGTATTCTTGTGATGATGGTTTTGCAGGAGGGTACCGCTGGGGTGGTAGTTCAAGCAACTACGGAGAAGGTAGTTCTACAGGAGGGTACGACTGGGGTGGAGGTGCAAGCAACTACGGAGGAGGTAGTTCTGCAGGAGGTGTTGGGTGGGAAGAATACCCGCAACATGCTGAGACTGCCCCATTCGTTCAGCCCGACGATGATCAGTGGCCTACTTGGGGGAAAGAGTGGGATGACATTGAGAACACCCTTCGAACTGGGCGTATGATAGACCGTTAGTTACACATGTTTTCACCCCTGTTCTTACACCGTTTGAGAGGTGGTTTCTCGTGTTTTAGACCGATTTCACGCTAGGTTGTGCTTGTTTGTGATATTTCAGGTCCTAGTACGTGAATGAAGGCTTAGGAGCGAGTCTGGGGTCGATTGGACGAAGAACGGACGAATGGCGAGGTTTTTGGGGAGCTGCACGGGCAGACCAGGGAGGCTGCACGGCCGTGCACGTGAGCAATATGGCCGTGCGCCTTATGCCGAGGACACGCACGGGCAACCCCTGAAGCTCGCACGGCCGTGCACCCTGGCCGTGCGAGAGGGCTGAAGTTCGACTAAATGACACGCTGCGTTTTGAGTTGCACGGCCAGAATGGTGATATGCACGGCCGTGCACCCTGGCCGTGCGAGTCGGGATTTCCTGGTTTTAAGCCAAATTCCGAACCAAAGAAGAGGGGGAGCTGGGTTTTGGATCCCAAACACCCAAGGGACGAACCCTAGAGAGAGAGGGCGATTTGAGGGCATTCTTGGAGTAGAGAAGGAGGATTTCTTCGCCTTGGAAGCTCGAGGAACAAGCCCGGACTTGAAGACTGATCATCTGAAGATTCTTACTGCAGTCTCTCTCTTCTCTATGGAGTAACTTCCCTTCACTTAGGTTTTGAGGAACCCTAGCTATGTTTGTTTGATTGGATGATTGTATGAGTACTCTGACTGGATAATCTTGAGTTCATATTCAATCTATGCATGTTTTCATGATTCAATTCTGCTTTAGTCGAGATTATTGATTCTGCTTTGATTCTATGAGAGGGAATACCTGATTAGGTCAATAGAGCACCATAGATTGATAGTAGTGGATCGATTGCTTTAGTCGAGGGTTGATTCACTGCTTTGTATCGATTGAGAACCTCTTTCGATAGAGGGAGTCTAGTTCAGAACGCCTTGATCAGTTGTTCTAGAGAAGGATACGTCCCTCTAGGCAATTGACTCAAGAGGGCCTTGTTCCTTTAGTCGAGACTCAAGGTCTAGTCAAGGATTCTCCGCATTGTGAATGAAAGTGAAACAGGTTAGAGATCATCAATCATTAATCTGGCTAGTGGCTAGGGGGAATCACACCTAAGTGAGTTCCCAACCTGTAATTAGATTAACTTTAACTGTAGTTTGCTAGAGTAGTTTTAGTTCTTTTATCTTAATCTGGTTTGCTAAATAATAAACTGAAGCTGAGTAATAGTAACTCTAGAGACCCGTGGATTCGATATTTATCACTTGAGCCACTATACTGCAGTCCCTTCCATTGGTTACACTTGGCCATTGTTAGGTGTTGTGTTTTAGAGAGTCAGCGTACTTCGCATGACCAAGAAGACGATGTTGGTTATGCTGGTAACGATGATCCTCCTGAGCCGAACTATCCATTACCCTCCAGCGACGAGGAAAGTGAGGAATATTTGAGATCAGTCAGTGAGGAGGAAGATACAGATGATATCAAGGACAGCCAAGTGGCGTTCTGTGAGGCACCAACACCTTACTACACAGAGGTTCCATCTCAATTTTTATGACGAAGAGTAAGAATTGGAATCACTTACCACCGCTCCCCACACAACACCTTGCTTTGACACCCATCTAAGTGTGAATTTCCGATACCACACCATGTACCCATCGTGGTACCCCCATTGGATTAGTCTCCGGTAACCCTTGGACAACCCAAGTCGCTCTATTCTCCCAAATGTTGATGTAGAACTCATGCTTGCGGATCCAATTCTTTGATTTGTAGCGTAGTTCGATGGCATGGAGCTCCCTGAACCCTTGAGGTGGGGATGCTGGAATTGGTTGCTCCATCTGATATTGCCTCAAGGCTTGATCCGGCAGGTGCCACTCTACCATGTGCCAACAGATCAAGGGCACCTTGCACAACCACGTCTCTTCATCCTCAGGGGTGTCTAAGACGATGAGTCTCGACCACTTCAGGTGGATATGGATCCCATGTCACTTGTCACCTACACTCATTTATGATTTGGAATTAGTATAAATTGTATCCAATCCATTTAAAAAATTTAAAATGATCCAATTTGACATTTTTACTTGGTTCCACCAAGGCTTATCAAACTCAGCACGATAAAACAGTAAAGAGTGCTCAGGTTGGTGATCGTTTGTATTTGCTCCGATCCACCTTATTAAGAAAAAGTACGTATGTAAGATATTTTTAAAGAATAGATGCTATGCTATGCATGTGAGAATTTCCTAAACACTTTCTTAATAAATTTAAGTACTAAATCTAAATTTACTAAAATTGGATACTTTAAAAGTGGCTAAACTCACTAAATTCAATTGCTTGGAATATATCTAAATACACTAAAATTCGATTCTATGGAAGCATCTAACTTCACTAAAATTGCATAATTGGAATGAATCTAAATTCGCTAAATTGCATACTTGGAATGTATCTAAATTCACTAAAATACTGAAATTGCATACTTGGAATAAAATTAGCATGTAAATTAAACTTACTTGACACCATAGGGGGGATTTGCTAGATCGCGTAGCTCCTCATTTGGACCCCAGAATTCCCGCGGGTCTCAGGGTACGAACATTGGAAGATGCTCCCATGTCCATAGTTGGAGTATGAACACCACACCTCCACCTTGTTTCGCTACCAACCTCGAGCAAGTGCACATCTCTCGGTAGATCCCAACCAATACGGCTGACCCCCAACTCTTTCTCCCGATCTCCTCCCAATCACCGAGGAGCAACGACAACCACATGCCTTGTACCCACCGGTTTGCCTTGTTGGGGAACAGAAATCAACCAACCAACCCAATGAGGTAGACGCGAGTGTATCGCTCCACCTGATCTTTGGGGGTGCCTGGCCCTAAATTAACCTCCAATTGGATGTGCTCAACAAGCCACATGTTCGATACTTGCCCAACATTGAGCGATGGATGCCCAACCCAATGGATGAACGTTGTGGTCGGCATGTCGAATCCCGAACGACCGAGAATCAACGGCCCCCAGCAACCTTCGGGTTTACTCGAGTTGCCGATGATGGCCTCTCCAGTGACCGGCAACCCGGTGAGGATGGCAACGTCTCTGAGGGTGATCTTCATTTCCTCATCGGGAAAGTGGAATGTATGCAATTCGGGGCGCCATCGCTCTGCCATTGCCGTCAGCAGATCGTTGTCGATATCAAGCCTCATGAAGTGCCTCGGCATGTGCAATCCCGTCCTCTCTAGATAGAGCTCCACTCGAGGATGCCAAAAAGGCAATCGTGTTGTCCCTCGATAACTGATGGGAATAAGTGAATCCTACAAAACATACAATGTTGTTAGTAAGAAAAAAACAATTTTTTTAAAGTAATGAAATAATTTACAAATTTATACGGTACGGAGTGTCTACCAGATTATTGTCCCAAATTGCACGCAGCGATTTTGTTCTTGCTCGTTTAAATATCTTTGATCACTTGGGCCAGGATCGATATACAATTGAGGGTCGTATATCTCAACACACATCTATAAAAAAATGTGAAATGAAATTAGATTATTTCAAACCCATTTAAAAAAATATCACAAAAAAAATTACGTACTCTCAGAGCCTCTTCGTCCATTTTTTGCCGAAAAGCTGGAGAGAGTATCGATGAAACTTTAGAGTGAAGGATTGAATAAAAAAACTATAGTAATTCTTTATGATATGGAAGATCGGACTTAGCCGCAACCATAGAGCATACTTAGAACGAGACTAGAGTGAAGTAATGTAGGGAGAAAGAAGTATAAAAGTGGTGGTGTGGTTTGGAATGAGGGGGGAATGAGTGGTATTTATAGGGAGGAGGCAGTGGAATTTCTTCATTGAGCATTCACCGCTCTCGTCGAAAATGGTGAAGAAACCACTTTTCACAAAGACGGTGAAGGACGAGGATCGATGACGTGTAACAGTGACGGTGAAGGGCGCGGGTGACGAGGATTGGTGACGTGGAATGCAGGGTATTCCTCGCTTTACTCTAAAACGGTGAATAGCCCGCACGTCCCCCACCCTATCACTGTAGCCGTCCGATGCGGTGCAACGCGGATTCTGGTTTTCTTTCGAGATCCGACGTTTCACCGCTGTACACGTAGGCGGTTATACATTCCCCGTATTTCTCCAATGTGGTGATAGGTTCACCTCTTTTCTCTAAGACGGTGATACCTTCACCGTTTTTCTTTGCAGCGGTATAATTTTCACTGTCATTGAGGACGACGGTGAATGTCACCACTGCCTTAGTTGACGGCGGTGATGATCAAACTGCTGTATTTTGGCAAATATTTTCATAACTACTGTATTTTGGGAAATTTTTTTAATAACTAGTGTATTTTGGGATTTTTTCCACCAAACTTGGGGTTGATACTCTGAACATACTATTGTTTTAACTTTTAAGAGATCAATCCTAACCAAGCTTACATGTCTAGTTCTATTTCATTGCCATAATGTAGTGTAGTAAAATGTAAGTAGATTTTTTACTTCTCCATACATCTTTCAGATATTAGTACAAAAGAAAAGATCATAAAATATCATTGTATCACCATCATATTTCTTCTCTTGATACCTCAATTTAACAAACTAAATTAAAGCACTTGGCCGTAACAAGAATGAGTTTTTTTAAAGAGTTGTTCATTAAGATTGCGATCGGGCCAAGCCTAATTTGAAAAGTACAAACAGAAAATACAACCATATCTTAAGACTAAAACAAAAAAGGCCCGAAAAACAAGTGGGTCGGCACCAATCGACGACGGATGAACTAGAGGGACAATGACTTCTGTCTTCAAGCTCTCCACTCCGAGTCCGATGCCAAGGGCTGCATTTCCGAAACACCTAGATCTGCAAGGTGAGACAAGGAGGTAGACGAAAGAGAGGAAATCAGCAGACAAGCTAGATTTGGAGTTGATCTGGCTTCCATCGCATCTTAGCAAGGATCATCATCTCCAGATCTTAGCAAACAGATTGGAGGGCAAAAAATCGACCCACCCAAGGGGGAGGAAAGGAACCCATCAAAGGGATAGACAAGCAATTTCATTGACAGAAACAAAGCCAAAACGACTTGAAAGGAACAAACACCGAAAAGAAAGGAAGAAAAGCATGCAAAACAGTGGGAAAATCATGAAAACGGAGAGGCGGAGGGCTGTCGCCGGCAGCAGCCTCCGAGCTCGTCAGAATAGAAAGCCTCTAGAGAGAAGGCAGAGAGGAAAAAAGAGGAGAGAGAGCGGGGCGTTCTATGTTCCTCTAGAAAGTGAGTTGGTAACAAGAATTAGTTACTGAAGAAGGAAAAAGATGAGTTGTATCATCACTTTTTTCAGAGGAAGTATAAGATCAATGTGCAGAAAGGTCAAGAAATTGGTAAAGAATAATCCAGGATGTTAAAAAGTAAAGTCATGAAACTTACGTATAGTGGAGAATAACACAAAATCCCATCACTACACTGTATGTTAGTAAATTCCCACACAAAGCAGTCAAGAGTTTGAGATTCATCAACATAAAATTTCATTCATCTAATAGTCCCTAAATTAGATAGCAAACCATCTTGGTGACCATATTGTCCCCAAGTTGAGATTTCAACGAATTAAAGATGAATGAAAGCGTTTCTTTAAACACTTTGATTTAGATTGATAAATCTTAGTAGTAGTTAAGCAGAATAAAAGAACTTAGTTTTGGTTTAGAATATGTCAACTCCTTCCTCTTTACTCGCTTCTAGAGATGCAGGCAAAGGGCATTGTCTCACCTATTGTGAACAGCCTTCTAGCATCTCTGAGGGCCATAACATTTGACATCAACCAGCTCAATTCAAGTGGACACGTCAAAAGCAAATAATCTTTCATTCAAACTCTTATTTAAAAGCAAACGATTACTCCTAAAAATTAGATATTAACCACCACAAAAATATGACATTCCCACTTCCTGGAACACATATTTGAAATCTCGTATTTGTCTCTATGGAAGTTGCACGTTCAAAAGAAAGAACAATAAACGCAAGGGACCTCAATAAAATGTACACATATGAAAGAAGTAATGCATTAGACTAGACTTAGTCTATATCACGCGATCAAGTGTACTTGTATCTAACAGGCTTACTTACTTTTTCCACAAGAGTAACAAACAGGTTTTGGCAGCAACATCCAGGTTTGCCTCCTCAACTTGGTTATGTAAGGTAAATGCTCCTTGGAGAATCTATACTGCTGTAACCTGGAGTCTTCTTCAACTTCTATGGCTCATCAAGTTTCTGATCTTGCAATTCTTGTGCCATAGGCCAGCTGCAGCATATACATTCCCCAAAACTGTATAATTGACTGAAATATCTGTATTAAGATTGACGAGATGCATTGCTGCAATCGCATCAAGGACGAAATTCTTTAAAATATAAAGAGTGGGTACGCTTTATTGGCCCAATTTCTCTACTACTATTTTACTTTTTGGCGTCTTGTGGGTTGGGTCTGAAAGAGTTCCAATCACTCTTGTGGGATTGGCGAGAGAGCTTCGAAGAACAACTTTTCCACCCAAGTCGTTCCCTGCCACGACAGAACCTTACCTTCTCCCTCACTCGCAGCAGAAGCCCATGCCTTCCTTTTGCAGCCGTATATAAAAAGTGGGTACGCTTTATTGGCCCAATTTCTCTACTACTGTTTCACTTTTTGGCGTCTTGTGAGTTGAGTCTAAAAGAGTTCCCGTCACTCTTGTGGGATTGGCGAGAGAGCTTCGGAGAACAAATTTTCCACCCAAGTCGTTCCCTGCCACGACAGAACCTTACCTTCTCCCTCACTCACAGCAGAAGCCCATGTCTTCCTTTTGTAGCCGTATTCAAAATTTTGCAATTGCATGTCTTTACTCTGTCCTGCTATCCTTTCACCATTTCTCTCACCTTTTCCATGTTTCCAGGTCATCGTTGTTGGTGATACACGCCACCGGTACGAAGCCTCTTCAGAACACGCCATCACGTATGAATCATACAGCCCTCGCCTTGCTCAGCTCGATTAGGGTCCTGCGTGCCGATTGATTTCTCTGATCCGCGCCCCTCCCAGATCATATGTACCTCTTGGTTCATTCTTTTGTTGCTCTATACCCCATTCTCACTCCAATTCTTCAACCACGCCTCTTTCCGCCCTTCGCTCTTCTACTTCCATTCACCTCATGAATCATATTGTCCTTTGCTGCAATGTGGAATTATGTCGTCAATGGAAGGAAGAAGGAAGCGAAGATTTGATTGGGAGGCATAGGAAGAGGAGAGAATTGGACATTTTGGAGGAGTGTGGGGGTCAGGATGGGAATGAAGGAGCCGGATGTAGATTTCGGGTAAGTTCTCTGCTTTCTTTCTTTTGCTTCTACCTTCTACACCTCTAATTTATTTCTTTTTATTTAAATCCCATGACCAAACAAATTTCCTATGGACAAGATGGCCTCCGCTGATTCCAGTGGTGGAGAAGGAGTCGTCGAAAAAGGTCTTTCTGTGGGGAGTACACAGGTGGATCATGAGTTATCTCTTTCTCTTCTTGTTGGTTGTAATTCTCCAAACACTCGGTTCACTATTGTTTCTTACTCTTGCCTTTTTTTTTCCTATAAACTTTACTTCCAACTTCTCCTGGTATGTGTAGATGAGATACATGAGTGGGAAATTGTCTGCTCGACAAATACTCCATAACAGAGAACTGAAAAGTGAGGTAAAGGGATTATGTTCGCTGATATCTGTATGTTTGTGAGCATGGTCCAATTCACCGTTTTTAGTTTGGTTATGTCTATATACTCATGAGCGTGGTCCAATTCAATCTTTCTAAAGAAAGTGACTTTTAATGATTTTGACAAGGAAGTCTGGCCTCAGAGACTGGCCCATGGAATTTGACAAGGAGCAGAGGAGGTTGATATGTTTGGTCTGGATCAGTTCTATACAGAAGTTAATAAAGGGAACCATTTGGAGCGAAGATAAGTTGTCTGCTCTCACAAGCACGAAGCAGCCATATCCAGTGAGAGCAAACCTCTATGTTGGTAAGTTTATCCTTTGTTGCTCCTTTACTTACCTCTGTGTCTAAGTTTATCCTTTCTTTTCTGTTCATAGATCTCAGTAGGTAAGAGTTTGTTTAATACAGTAAATGGATAGCATTTACAACCATTAAAAGGAGCATTATTAAGATGTTAATATATGTGCTTGATAATGCACAAACTAGATTAATTGCAGCAATATTAAACTGAGTTCTCTATGTTTTTCTAATCAAAATTTTCATGTAAGGGATTTCAAATTCTAGTTGGACCATGCTAGGGGATGCTTGGTGAAATATTATATAGATATTTAATGTGCTGCAAGTAGTTAAACAAGTTCCAACTGCACTTGTGTGTTCATTAAGAAAAGTAAAATGAAGAATTGCAGGGTGCAAACAGAAGACAATGTTTGCCTTCTTAGTTTCATGTATAGTTGCATTTTGCTTTGCCTGCCTGGTGCACCTCTCAATTGGATAAAGTAAACATTACAAATTATGGTTGTTGTAAGTCTGTAGGGTCATTCTTGGTTATTTTGTTGCTTAAAAGAGAAATATGAGCTTTATTTTCCATTTATGTGCCAAATATCTCCCAATGCTTTTGAATTGTTGTGTTCCTCTTTTAGATAATGGCGGCTGAAACTCAAAGAGTAAAAATAACGTACAAAAGAGTTACAACAGTTGCTAAAGTTCACAAGAACTGAACCGACAACCAATAAATAAGGAGAAACAAAACAAGGAAAAAGGACGAAGGAAAGAGGAGGGGAGGCTGACAGCTGCAATGGGCGGAGTTATGTATTGAAAAAAAGTTCCGGAGATTTTTCATATTGGTACATGCAAATAACGAGAAGTTCAAAGGGGAGAAGAAGCAAAGATTCATGACTCTGCATCGTTGTTGATGCAATTGTTGGCTGGTCAAATAGACACTGTTAGACAAGAGGAGGTCTTGGATGGTTCCAATCCATTTGTTTGACATTCTGGTTTCATGCATATTAAGATATAACTTCTTTCTTGGTGTAGCCTTTGTCAAATATAACACTCATCCTAAATTCAACTTCAATCTAGTAAGCATATGTTGTTTTCTGTTGCTGCAACACTTACCTGCTGCTTTGAATCTGTTTATGCAATTTTTTATCTGTTTTTTTTATCCTACTTCTCAATGCTTTAATTTTATGCATCATGCTTCTTGATTTTTAAATTATATGTTTGAGAGAATAGATTCTTTTCCTTTCATATGAATATGATATAACAACAAGTGTAACACCCCACCCTAAAATCTTGGGTCGAACCGATGGTTCAACCGCGCAACGGAAATCACTCGGGGTTTACGTTTTGGAAATCTCGACTCAACTGACATCCACATCATTATGATATGTTTAAAAATCAACTCATCATTACAATTTACTAAAAATCACTTTCTCAATTCATTAATAAATCTTCGTCATATTCAGGATTCACAAACCCAGACTATCAATCTCATCTACTGCGTTCATACTGAACTCAAGTTAATGATCATACTTGACCAATGTAAACTATCATGCATGCTCAAAACTCGAATCGTAAAATAAGGATTTCAGAGTACATCAACATGTGAAAAAAACCTTTTCAATCAAAATCCTCCATCATTCATTGTGCAGTGCCAAAGTCATCCTCAATTTACCACACTTGTCACATCTAGAAAGAAAATGGGTAAGCTACTAAGCTGAGTGTGTGGACCTGTCCTATACAGCAAAACTATTGTTAGCATGCCATCACATCATCACATCTTGTTGATTAAAAACACATCATCAACATATTATCTCATTAATCCCTAGATTTATTTATAGGTCATCAATTCAAATTCATCTTTACCCAATTCGTCATGGCACGATTCTCATTAATCAAGTCATATATCGAAATGATATCGTAAACTTACCTCCAGTTTTATCATAAATCAAATCTGTCTTGCCAAAGAAAATGTGACATTAATTTCTAGTGGTTGGTACGCTGTCAGGTAGACGTGGTCAGTTACACTGCCATGTTATATCAACCTTTGAAATTTTTCTCCTTTCCATTACGATCCCGTGGGCGCAAACGGCTCGTTGTTTCGATTCCAAACGAATAAATTGTGCCTAAATTAGTGCCGGTACGTACACTTTCAATAATGGAATGCAAACTTCAAAATGACATATCTCACTCGTTTGGAACCCAAATGTAATTTAGTAAAATCCTACGTGATCGTGGAAAGATTTTCTAAATTATGGAGGCGGGATTTTTTGGTAAATACTTAACCATAATTCCAGAATATTTGGAATTTCATAAACCAATTGGTAAGGTTGCAATTTCATCTAATATTGTTGAAATTTTTGATTCCTCATCAATTCGAATTGATTTGTCAATTGCCCGAGGTTTGAGATGTTACAGCAAGCAGAAAGATATAGAGGAATGGTTGGCGCAACCAACCTTTATATGTCAAAGGAGAACACAAGTATTTGTATATTTCATGGGTAATTTAGAGCATTTTCCCTTTGATATGAATTTGATATACTCTTTATATTGCCTTCTTTTCCGTTGCTGCAAAGTCTAAATATTCCGATAAAAAACTCACTTCCACATATCATGACGTGCATGCTCTATCATTGACCAGTGGGGCACATTAATCAGCATTCTCTTCGCAATGTTTTCAATGTGGTGTTTGTTATTTTGTTTCTCACATTGTAACTTAATTTCCCGCAGTGTAACCGTGGGTATTGATTCTAGTTACCATACGAAAAGCATCCCCCGAGAATGGCACCCCTCAATGAGGAATTCAGTGTAATATTGTTCCTAGAAATTATATTGTACGCTTCTTCCAGCTGCCCTACACGGACAAAGAGATCAACCGTACAAGAGTAGTGGTCAGCTCGTGGTAGGATATTGTGCTTGTTGATCATGCTATTGAAGAATTCTGATTCTTCCTTATTTAATCCAGAATGACTGCAAGCAAAGAGATCAGACAACAAATTAATGTCATTCGACACTAAATCTTCATCTTCCATCTCCTTACACAATGAAATTGCATTGTGTTATGGGACAATCCAAGTACCACATCGGTAATACAATGGAAGGAATCCTTGTATATTAGTGTTCACCAAGCTCATTAGTATGAGGCCTTTTGGGGAGGACACCCAAGAGTAAAACCGTGCGAGCTTGGCCCAAAGCGGACAATACCGTACTAATTGAGCGGCCCGAATTTGACAAGTGGTATAAGAGTCTGGTTCGGTTCGGGGCGCTGGACGTCAGTTTGGTGGACCCTCATTCGGTGACCTCGGGATTAGAGTTCTACGTCTAGCGGATCAAGATAATCGCTAAGGTGAGGACACGAAGTTCGTGGTCCTTGTCTTGAAGGGAGGATTGTTATGGGACAATCCAAGTACCACATCGGTAATACAAGGGAAGGAATCCTTGGATATTAGTGTCCACCAAGCTAATTAGTACGAGGCCTTTTGGGGAGGACACCCAAGAGTAAAACCGTGCGGGCTTGGCCCAAAGCGGACAATCATACTAGCGTGAAATCGGTCTAAAACACGAGAAACCACATCTCAAACGGTGTAAGAACAGGGGTGAAAACATGTGTAATTAACGGTCTATCAATCATACTAATGGAGCAACCCGATTTGTGACAAGTGGTATCAGAGCCTAGTTCGGTGCGGGGCGGTGGACGTCAGTTTGGTGGACCCTCATTCGGTGATACCACTTGTCAAAATCGGGATGCTCAATTAGTACGATATTGTCCGCTTTGGGCCAAGCCCGCACGGTTTTACTCTTGAGTGTCCTCCCTTAAAGGCCTCGTACTAATGAGCTTGGTGGACACTAATATACAAGGATTCCTTCCCTTGTATTACCGATGTGGTACTTGGATTGTCACATAACAATCCTCCCCTTAAGACAAGGACCACGAACTTCGTGTCCTCACCTCAGCGATTATCTTGATCCGCCAGACGCAGAACTCAAATCCCGAGGTCACCGAATGAGGGTCCACGAAACTGACGTCCACCACCCCGAACTGAACCAGGCTCTGATACCACTTGTCATAACCGGGCTGCTCAATTAGTACGATATTGTCTGCTTTGGGCCAAGCCCGCACAGATTTACTCTTGGGTGTTCTCCCCTAAAGGCCTCGTACTAATGAGCTTGGTGGACACTAATATACAAGGGTCCATTTCCTTGTATTACCGATGTGGTACTTGGATTGTCCCATAACACCTTGTTTTCCATACCCACTAATCAGCGATGTCCATGATATGACATTTTTCTCCC